TTAGGAAGTCTGATGAGAATGACAATAATCCTTCAGGTCATAATATTGAATGCTATTTCTCAGTTCCTTCATATATCCTCGCTTGCCTTGCCTATAAAATGATCTCATGTTGTTAAAACCGCTGGCCATATCTCTCACTAATTTCTTTCCACTGGTCCCTTTCATTAACCTGATGGCCGCTATTGCATTGATCTCTCTCACTCTCTGTACAATGCTTTGCAATCCCGTCTCTGCTCTCGTTATATATATCCTGGTATTCCTTTGACACCCGAGGATTATTATCATAGCTTCATTTTGTATGGTTTCAAGTTTCCGGAGTCTTCCTTGACAGGCTATGGAAAGTGCTGGTGCTGCATAATCCACCAAGGCTCTTATCGTACTAATGTAGATTAGCCTCAGCAAGGGCACCCCAGCTCCTACTCCGCGACAAGCAAGTGCTCTGAGCGGCCGTATTCGCGCCCTACACTGAGTCAATATATGATTCACCTCAGCATCTTTACTTGACGCAGTAAAGCCACTGTATACTCCCAGATATTTATATGTCAATACTTTCTCCACCTGTTTGTCATTTAAACTGAGTCTCACGTTGCCCCTTTGTTTGCTCTGAAATTTTGTATTTTCTTCATTGATAACCAGCCCTAACGTTTGAGCAAGTTTACTAAAGTTGTTCAGCGCCGTCTGTAAACGGCGCTGTGTAGTCCCTTGTATCAATATATCATCTGCGTATATAATTGGCTGGACGCCCTGAGGATAGCTCTCTGAGGCTATTCTGTTCATCAGTACATTAAAAAGTGTTGGGCTTAAAACGCCTCCCTGTGGTGTTCCCAGCTCAAGATTTTTTTCCTCTGACAAACAGCCTTGAAACCACACACAAGCTCTTCTCTCAGACAAATAGTCACCGATCCACTTAAGCAACGTTCCCGTGACCCCTAACATTGCCAACTCATACATAATCACTTCTCCGTTGGCTTTATCAAAGGCTCCCTGTAAAATCAACAAATACTCTACACTTTTCTGCATCGTTGGATAAACACTGAATTAGGCAATCAGATGTTCCCTTCCCTTTCATAAACCCGTACAGATTACAAGAGAGTTTATCTCCAATCACATACATTAGTCTGTTTAATAATATTCGTTCCATCATCTTGCATAAGCAGGATGTCAGAGATACAGGCCTGTATCCACCTGACGATTTAGGAATGGGTATTATTAAGGCTTTTTTCCAGGCCTTCGGCAATCTACCGTCCAAATAGCTCATGTTAAAAAGATCTAATAAAGGGCTGTTCTCCATGCTTACTAATGCATTTAGAATGTCATATGTAACGCCATCTTCTCCTGGCGATGTACTTTTTCCCCTTTTGATTGCATTTAAGAGTTCATGTATAATTTTGGTCTGACAAGATACTGCAGTAATATTTAAGGATGACTGTATTTGTTCTTTTCGTTCAATTTCCCATGCGTCTAAAGCATCGCGAGTGTGTTGTGGCAATGACACCAGTGAAGATGCCTTCGCCCATTTCTGAATATGTTTGTTTGCCTCCTCCTCTGGCTGTGGGTGACCGATGAGGTTATTTGTTTTGCCCCTCACCTCAATGACGTAATGCCATATTTCTTTAAGGCTTTTGCATTCCTCGATGTTTTGCGCTAATTCTTTCCAGTATTTCTCCCTTACTTCTTTCCGTTTCCCCCCACATTCTTGATATATCAAGGAGTATATCTTTGTCCTGTTCCTTTTTGCCTTTTTGTACCCACTCCCTGTAAGCCAACCTTAGCATGTATGTCCATTCCTTAAGTGTCTTATCACTGCAATACCTGTTTTTCCTTCCCCCATGACCCCTTTCCTTTCTGTGTGTCTTGGGTGTTGTGGGTAAACGTCTTTCTATCGCACTCAACAAATTCCGGTTGAACCTATCTAAACATATGGGTGTATAGTGTTTATACCAATTCTCTATGTTGTAAACAAACTGGTCTCTGTCGTTTACATTAAGTGAAAGCCGTTTTCTCTGAAATTTAACTTGTATTTTCACTACAGCTAACTTAACATAAAACGCGAAATGATCACTGAGTAGTTCACTTACCACTTTACATTCTCCTTGAATCGCCTGTCTGCCAAACAGGCAGGCGTAATCAAGCCGTCCACCTTTGATGTGTGTTGCCTCTTTGCCACCCAGCAAGCATACATCAGGCCTATCCTTTAAAAACTGGTAAAACCTCTTATCGTTATCATTGATATTGCCCCTCTCCGCTAATTGCGGGTGTCTAGCATTCAAGTCACCCACTATCAGAGCAGAGTCAGAGTACATGCAGTCAGGTAAATATCTGAGGTCAAAGGATCTCCCGGAGATGTATAAGTTGACAATATATATTTCACCTTGTTGCAAATGAAGCTTCACACACACACTTTCTATGCCGTTAGTTCTGCACGGCGTCTCTGTTAGTTCAGAGGGTATTGAGCTTTTGACATAAGTTGACACTCCCCGTATTCAGTCACCGGCATGAA